GGGGATGTTGCTTTGGGAGCGTGGGTTTGAAAGAATCCCTTATGACAAATGGGATATGCCACAAATTAGAGAACATGTATTAAGTGAAAAAAGAGAAGAGATTACTTTTGATAATTCAAATAAAGAAATGTTAAAACTACAAAAAGAATATGCAGCTATTTTTGTGGGTGGTAAGTTGTCAAAATTATAAATTTTTTTTAGTTTTAAATTTTTAGATAAAATAACAAGTATTAATATAGGAATAATGTTTTCTATTATTTTATTATTCTGGATAAGCTTGGCAAAATGATCCCACATTAAGGTTATCCCTTCAACAAATTTTCTTTCAACTGAATCAATTGGCCAACACTTATCATAAAAGTAGTGAAAATACCCCATTTCAAAGAAAAAAGTTGAATCCAGATGGTAGTGTAGTACGCAGTAAATATTCTATTTCTATTAGTGATAAAAAAGAATCATCAGAACCTAGAAAAACAACTAAATCTGGATCAATTAGACCAATTATTCCACTTGAAGAAGGTCTTAAAGCACATAAAAACAGAGAGAGGGAAAAGGCTTGGGCTTGTTTTAGCGCTCATGCTGAACTAGGAAGCCCGCTAGCTAAATATTGGAAAGGATATTATATGTATGAAGGATATTGTGGTCGTGTGGATAAAGCAGAGGCCATTAAATTATTTCATGAAGCTGCTGATGAAGGAAGTGGTGATGCTCAATTACGTTATGCATTTTCTTTGGTGAATAATAAAAATTTTGATAAAGATTTATTTATTAGGTATCTTACATTATCTGCTGATAATGGAAATACAACAGCCAGATTTAATTTGGGCGATTTGTATTATAATGGAAAACTTGGAGCTCCTAAAGATGTAAATAAAGGAATTAATTTTTTGAAATTAGCTGCTTTAGATAAACACCCAAAAGCAACTGAACTATTAAACAAATTGAAAATTGATGTTTATAAAAGTTAAAAATTTTCATCTATTATTATATTAATTTAGATAATTAAATTTTAGATTTTGTTTGTTTATTTAATTAGTGAATGAAATAAAAAATAAAAATTAATTTTTTTGGTAATGATTCCTCGTCATCACCATTGATAATGTTGTAGCATTAGGGTTTAAACCTTCTGCACATACTCTAAACGTTATATCTTTATCTGTAACAATTCCCATTATTTTATCACATTCATCAACAACAAGAACTGCTGTTACCCTAGATTATGGTAGATGAGATTTATTTGTTATCAATATTGGTTGAAATAATGATTGGAATAACATTAATACAAACTGTTATTATAATTTAATTTATTAGTTGGTTACCTATTAACAACCATCAATTTAGCTGCATCCATTAAAATTGTAGTTTCTATATAAATAGAACGACGCGATAATATTAATCAATTAATTTCTCGACCAAACAAAAATCAAAAGCAAAAATCAAATCTTTTAGATACCCGGTAAAGTGATAGGAGCAGAAGGCCTCAAAATTCCGATTAAACCAGCTGACCTTGACAGTTTTTCAAAAGGCCTCTTTCCTTGCATTTTTAAGACTTTGGTTAAATCGTGTTCAGCTTTCTTTCTTATTTTCTCATCTTTAT